AAAAAAAGTGTCTAGAAAAAAGAAGAGAGAGGAAGAGCGTAACAAGTTCTCCCATTCTTGCGACATCGAACAACATATTGAAAATGACTAAGATCATGAAACTATATTGGGATTGAGCATGATAATATGAGTTGATTATAATATGGTTTTGGAGTGATTCTTATCTTCTCTTTGTGTCTTCTTTTCTCACAAAATTCATAAATTTAACATAATGAAATTTCCTATACTGGCTAGATTTTGTTAAGAGAATTAGAGAATTTTTAACCATAATGGAATTGGAAACAATAAGAATTGAAGCTAGGGTGGGTGAGTGTGGCCTCTACTCCAAACCCCCTCAGTATAAATTTCACGTGCCAAGTCATTGAATTTATAAATTTGCCCTTAAAAAAATAAAATCTCTTTTTTTTTTTTTTAATTTAATTGTCATTGAGAAAAAAATAAAAAAATAATCCACATTGCCTATGAATTCTGTGTCTTTGTAGTTGTGAACAGTAGTGAATAATGATGTCGGTGTTGAAAGAAGAACCTACCTTGTTTTTCTTCTTAATATTGTTAGATACACATGCATGCAATATATACATGTTCAGTGTCTGGTGAATCGTGGCCTGAACTTCTACCAATGAGATAGTAGTTTGAAGACTAGAAATAAGTAGTTTGCCTATTCTAATTATGATACAGAACTTTTCTATTACTTGATGGGAGATTAGGGCATGGAACTTATTCATTCGCACAAATGCTTAACAGTAGCCAAAGTAACACTTCTTCTAAAGTTTCAGCTTGTAAAATGTTTTTTTAACAAGTCCTCTGTGAACGACGTATCTCGGTGTAGTATTTAAGTGTGTCATCGTGTGAAAGATATATTTTTCATTTCAATGTTTGTGATGTTGCTTGCTGAGTCAATTTTTTATCTAGTAAGTTGGTCACAAACATCTAGCTATATGCTCTGAATTATGCTCCGAAGCTATTAATAAGTCATGCAACTTGCCTTTTCTGATTTGTGTGCTCATAAATCTGAACATGGTACGTCCGAGTGGATCAAATGTTAGATGACCGAGAAGAGCTTTCTTGAATACTTTCCTTACCTATTTCACTGTCTGAAAGAAAGAACTAAATCACAAGAAAGAAATGTTGGTTCGTCCTATAGTGTTCAAAGTGATCATAACTCTACTCTACTGAACCTTCTATTAATTTCCTTGAGTGGTTAGTGTTGACAGCTCATCTTTGATTGTAGGTTAATTAACTATGGGGGGTGGTATGATAACTATAGTAGATGAATTCTACGGTTCCGTCTATTATTCAACATGTCATGTTTTTGTTCACTTAAAATCTTATCATCTCATTAGTTTTATTATTTTTGTGAAAATTTAGTTGGTAAATTTGAATGAGTGTAAATTATTTTGCAAATGTAGGTTAGAACCTTGTGTGAGAAGGCCAAGGAGATACTGATGCTGGAAAGTAACGTCCAGGTATGAATTAGTATCTTTCACATTACTGATTTTGTTTGATTTTAAAGTAGCTAACCAGCCTGAAATAAGAGTCCTGTCCGAGAATTTTGTATATTCTGAGTTATTTAACAGATGAAAACTACTATTTTGGTTACCCTATTTCTGCCGATATTTATTCAACTTGAGTTATCCTAAATTCTTATACCCATGGTATGAATTGGTTGTGATTAATTAGATTAGAAGATGTTTCTGTACTACACTTCATGGCTTATATGGTTATTTGTTAACTGGAAGAAAACATATGGATATGTTGGTGTGAGGTATAATCAAATGATTTAATGTGCTAAATACGTAAATAAGGCCTCACTAACCAAATATATTGAAAATAAACTGTATTTAAAGAATCTCAAAATAAGACAGCTGCCCGTTTATTTGGTTTATGTGGGTTCTTAGAGATAATATATTAGTCTACTTCTTTCTAACCTAATTTTTGAAGTTCTTTGCCTTCAAACCTTGTAGTTCCCACTTCACAATTCTATCTTGAGAAATTTGTACCAGTTAATTGATTTACGTTTTTTCTCTGTTCCTAGTATGTATATCATGTTAGTTACATGTAAAGTTTAAAAATCATTCTCCATGATGTTCCTTCGAAATATTTCCTTATTTTGAACTTCAAAATGTTTTTTTTGGATTGTTATTTTATGCTTGTGCTAGGTAGTTAAAATTAATGTGTTGGACTAATCTTGGGTTCTTATATGTTCCGTTTTGAATTTCAATCTATGTTCATTTTATTTTTTAATCTATCTTTGGGTAACACAGATTATAATCTATGTCTGAGATCCTATATTGACTTCTTTGTTATTGGATGCAGCCTGTAAAAAGTCCTGTGACAATTTGTGGTGATATTCATGGCCAGTTTCACGACCTTGCGGAACTTTTCCGCATCGGAGGGAAGGTATTATTAGTGATAATGGCATTCAATGCTTGTATTTCCTATTGTTTTGAACTAGGGGAACTGAATCTTTGAGAGCAGTCAAAGGATTGGACTTGAGGATGGACTTTGTCTTGTCATTTCATAACAGGTCGAAATTGATTAGAAATTTATTTTGTCAATAGTGGGCTCTTAGTTATTAATACACAGGTGGCATGCCTTCTTAAAGACAAGTTACTTCTCTGTATTGTCCTAGGGCTGATTTACTTTTATCTACCCACCAGAAGTTTTAATTGTGTTAAACTGTTAATGATTACTTCTGGCATGTTTGCTTCCGAATCGGAATTGTTATAGAAATTTTTATTTACTTATGTTTTGACTGTATCTAATTTTGTCTCATTTTCTTGTTGGCAGTGTCCAGACACAAACTACCTATTTATGGGAGATTATGTTGATCGTGGTTATTATTCGGTTGAAACTGTCACTGTAAGTTCAAACGAAAGATAGTTTGTTTGACATTATCCTTGACTTGCTATTGTATTTGATTTTACGGGAAAGGGGGAGTGGGGGAGTTGGATAAAATCAGTGTCGTAGTTTTTTTTTTTTTTTTTTTTTTTAATTGGATAATATGGGCACTTATAATTGCTTCGTGTTATTTCATTGAATTAACTGTTAGTAAGACATGCTAATGTGCTTATATCCTGCAGCTTCTGGTGTCTCTGAAAGTGCGCTATCCTCAACGTATCACGATTCTTAGAGGGAATCATGAGAGTAGACAGGTATTTATTTACTTTATTGATTCCTTCCCACATAGTTGTTAAAGGCTGTGGCCTTTGGTGGTTATTCACTCATACAGATAATAACAAAAAATAATCTACTTTATAATAAAGGGTAAAAATAATTTATTGCCATTTATATGCCATGGGGCAGGACCTTAAACAAGTTTGTCTCGTTTAACTTGCCTTATACTCTAATTAAAACAGGACTTTATGGGATTATTGGTTAGTGCTATTACATGCAACTTCCAAAAAATAAATCCTCTGTAACACAAAAACAGGATAATATTTTTATTAATTGGAAAAGAATAAACACCAGAAGAGACCTCTGCTCCAGCCACGTGCATGTGCACATCGGTTGCTTAGTGTATTGCAGTGTTTTTTTTGTAATGAGATGTTCTGCATTTACTCATGTACTGAAATATATTTTTGTTTTATTGCTTGCAGATCACACAAGTCTATGGATTTTACGATGAATGTCTGCGGAAGTGAGTTTCTTGATCTGTTCCAACTAGCTTTAGAATTTTGTCTCATTTACTTGCATTCTCTTATTCCAAAGAATCCTGAACTAATACACTGCTTTAAATCTGGTGATGGGTGCACGTGTTTCTGGTTTTGCTGGAATGTTGTCGGGTCCTTTTGTTTAATAAGAAAACGTCTATTTTATGTCAATGTTAGACTTGGAATATTATTGCATCTGTTATATGAATTGAGAACACCAATGTCGAAGAGCCAATTTATTTTATGGGCCATTATTATTATTATAACTGAGCATTTAGATTAATCTCTCGAGTTTTTGTTCGTTCGGATATATTAACGTTAACATCTTGAAAGTTCCCATCTGATTGTAGGTATGGAAATGCTAATGTCTGGAAGATATTCACTGATCTGTTTGACTATTTCCCTCTGACTGCTTTGGTTAGTATAACCTCGCTTCCTCATTATTTCTCTCGTTCAGACATTTGTTATAGAAAAAGGCTTAGTTCCCGTTTCCTTTTGAAGGCTCAATTTCTTTGAGTTGAATTATGATTATTAACATGCACAATTTAATTCTGATATATCGATCGATTTTGGAATAATAGGTTGAATCGGAAATCTTTTGTCTGCATGGTGGACTGTCTCCATCAATTGAAACCCTCGATAATATAAGAAACTTTGACCGTGTTCAAGAAGTTCCACACGAAGGTCCCATGTGTGATCTGTTGTGGTCTGACCCAGACGACCGTTGTGGGTGGGGCATATCCCCCCGTGGTGCTGGTTACACTTTTGGCCAGGTAGCAATCTCATCTAGTAATCGAACATTTTTTTCTTTTCCAATTTTCTCCTTTAGTTCTGCCATAGTGCCATTTATATTTTTTTTGCCCACTTATATCGCAGGACATATCAGAGCAATTCAACCACACAAACAACTTAAAGCTAATTGCTCGAGCTCACCAGCTGGTTATGGAGGGATATAACTGGGCCCATGTACGTAAATATCTTAATTTTATGTATTTTTTTAGATAACACATTTATATTAGTTAAAAAAATGGATTATTGATTTTTGCTCTTGTTTAATTACAGGAACAAAAGGTTGTCACTATTTTTAGCGCACCGAATTATTGTTATCGATGTGGAAACATGGCTTCCATTCTGGAAGTTGATGATTGCAGAGAGCACACCTTTATTCAGGTTCTTTTCTTTATTTTACGACGACATTTTGTACAATATATATACATATATATATATTAATATTAAATTGGAGTTATAAATTGGCTTATATATATATGTCTGCAGTTTGAGCCAGCTCCTAGGAGAGGGGAGCCTGATGTGACACGAAGAACGCCCGATTATTTCTTGTAGAAACTGACTATTGGCGTTTGAATAGTCAGTTGGAGGTGCTTATTACTAAAATGCCCTTTCTTCAAATACGATGTTCAAGTTTGTAGCCTCGTTTTTGGAGATGCTGAAAGTGAAAAGAGGCATGTTAAATATAGATCAAAGGTCTTCTTCCCCTTTGTCTGCTGCACTATATTTCTAACCTATTTTAGGGAATTTGGATTAGGGATATGCGCTTTTTGTGTATCATTGTCTACGATTTTTTGATATTACGTTGTTTCCCGGTTTTTGTTTTTAATAATTGTTTTTTTTTTTTTTTGCTTTAATTTCCTGAGAATCCCTGGACAGGTGTTCTGTATAAGTAATGAAGAACTTCTATCAGTTGTTTGTTCTGGTAATTGTGTTTTAGTTAATTTCACAAATGGAGATAAATTAAGCTTGCATTTAATTTCATCACATGTTGCTCTTTTCGGAATGTATGTCCAGTAAAACCTCGATAAATTAATACTCGACAAACTGATAATTTCGGTTAAATAATAATTTCTTTATGTCCTGACTCAGTAAACACATACTAAACTATTGGTTCAATAATTTAATATTTCGCTAAATTAATAGAATTTTGTTAGTTTCAACTTCCAACTGTATTAATTTATGGATATCAAATATATGGACTATTACACAAGAGTGATACATACTTGTAGAGTAAAATTCTATTTGCCTCTCTAATTATACTTTTGAATTGTAATTAAAACTTACTACCATTTGCAAATGAATTTCACATGAATTCGAAACATGCGAATTTGACGTTCGTTTTCCAAGTGTAATCTTGTCATTTCAGTGCATTGCGACCAAAATCTTCATAATATTCCAAAATACTAAAATTGTTAATATTGTAAGTAATTACTAAAACTATATTCACTATTTAAATCCAGGAAGATGTAAAAATGATTGAATGCATCGTTAAAAATCGCATTTCCATTTCGGAATTTTAAGTTACAAGAAAAACTATAAACTATAAATTTATAATATTGGGTTTTGAAATTATATTTAATCGGGTGTTACATAGATTTGATCGAAATAAATCCCACTTATTATTACAGTATTTATTATCAAAAAAACATCACAAATTTTTGTCTCTGACATCTAATACCATAGATTTTTTTCCTCATATTTACAAACTTATATATATATATATTCATTTGTGCTTAATATATTTTAAAGATACTGGTTTAGGTTTCCTCCATGACCTAAAAATATAGGGTTCATGCTTTACCTTGATCAGACGGTTGAGAAAAACCCTAGCACAATCTCTCACCATTCTTTTCAATTTGATCACTCCATCAATTAATTCATTATCATCTTCTTCTTCAACAGAATATTCCCTACTGATCAACAGCATATTCTCTTCTTCTCTGAAGTATTGGGCAAGTGTACATCTTCTTCCATCAGTAAGCTGCTTCAAGCTTCTTTTATGTAATTCCTCAATGTCGTCGTCGTTGTTTCTCTCTCTAAAACTCCGATCACCATTGTTTTCTCTCTCATCAAAACTCCGTCCTTCTTCGTCTTGTCGTGGCTCTACCTTCACGTAATTTACGGGCTTTCTTGTTCTTCTTGACATGGATATGTTGTAGTGAGCTTTCATTTTGCCTTCTTCCATTTAATTATTATTATTATATTATATTTTTTTTTTCGGCTAGAGAAATTTATTGAAGTATCAAGGGTTTATATATATATATATATGTATGTATAGATTCTTGGTGATTATATTATAATTATTGCATGTGTTTAGATGTGTGCATGTTATACTGTGGTGAAATGTCATTTTTATTTTTGGTTGGACTATTATAATCTCATGTGACTGAAAAATTGATAAACTAACCCCTTCAAGTAATTAAATTATGCTAATGGTAATAATAAATTATTTTTTTCTTTATTGTAATATATATATATATATATATATATATATATATATATATATATATATTATATCTTAATTAAGAATGTGAAAAATTCTAGTGAAATATTGTGGATCGACCATTTAATTAATTTGTGAGGATGCCCTTTATCTATATACCCTTGAATTGATCTTTGATGTGTGTGGTGAAGTGTAGAATTTTACCTACCTTTTGGTGGTAGGTATATTTCAATTTAGTGAAAGTTGTGGAGGTGAAAGCCAATTTAATTTGCTTATTTAGCTTTTTTTTTGGTATATATATAATTTGATGGGACTTAAAATGTACCATACTTGGTTCGAATCGATCATTGAAATCTTTTTTGAGCTCGTCCATTAAATTGTACTAAGTTTTTAAAAAACATGTTGTGTAAGTTCAAGTTGATCACTACCGAATTTGAGTAGCTATAATGTTTATACATATTTGATCGATCATTTCTTTAATTGACTCGAGTCGAATTTCATAATTTATCAAACAAAGAATGATGCTCAAACTTGATTAATTATGTTAAATGCGAACCAGTTTTTAGTTTAAATTCACATATATTTTCAGACATAAACCCCAAATAAAGAGACTTTATTCAGGATATATAATAATCTTCTTAAATAATAATAATAATAAAAAAAAAGAATCTTTTTTTTCTGCTAATAGTGACAAAGAAGATAGAAAAGCTAGGAAAAAACACTGCACAAGACAAAGTTCATTGGACAAAAATTCAACCAACCAAAAGGGTTAAAAACTGCACCCACAAGCAAAAAATCTGTACTTTATAAAGAAAATGGGTCCCACCTTAAGGGGCCCACACCGCAGTGCTTTTGGCCCAAATGAATTGACGGGCCGGGCCGGGCCTGTGAAATCCAGACAAGAGAAGTCCAATTGTGTATTTATGAACACAGTTAGTGTAACGAACTGATCTCATCCGTTGGATCAATGTTATGCAATCTTTGTCTCTTCATTCTCTTATTTAAATACTCTCTTCTTTGAAACCGTGCATTTCTTTATTTGCCTAATTTTTCTTGTCTCTTTCCTCTGTACTGCTTTGTGACTCGTCATCAATCGCGGGTCAAATGTCGTTGTACATAACAAATGTTGACCCTCTGATGGTACCTTCAATCGGTTACTATTGACTTGTATCCTACTTATACGAGGAGATCAGAGTGATTGCGATTAAGACACATATATATAACATAAACTTGACCTAAACCCTAAATCCTTCTTCTGTGTGAGATTTGAGACTGCTTTGGTGAGTTTGTGAGCTTGTGTGCTCGAATATGTGCTTCCCTCGATGGGTTCTGAGTGAAAATCACGAGAGTGAGTGAGCGAATTAATAGATTGATTCTTCTATGATACTCTGGTGGTGTAAGTGTATTCTTTTCTGGAATCTCCGGTGTCAATTTAAATTAGAAGATTGAGATGTATTCCTAATCCTAAGTTTTGTTGGTACTTTTCCTGTTCACACCGTGTAACTTAACCTCAATAGTAATCAATATTATTGAAGTTAAACTGTAATTTTCAATATCCAATCTTTGAATGGATGCCTAACATAAACGAATCCGAGTCAAGTTGAATAAATTGTTATTTAACAATATTTTAATTTCTATTCAGTATTTAAACTTTAAAGTTGTATTTAAGATTGATTGATAAAAAAATAAAAGTAAAAGTCAAATGAATTGTAATCGAATTTAACACGTATTGAGTTCGAGTAGCTTTAATTTCGTACAAAATTACTATTTCCCCCCTTTTTTTAACTAATGGAATGAAAATATAGAATATTATAGAAGAGAATCTAAGTATGATTTAAATTTCAATAGTAGTACATATAGCTTTTATATAATATATAATTATATAATATATAGTTGTGAAAATATTGTCCACATTAGCTTGTTTGTGATAGTGACCTGAGATATATATATATATATATATATATATATATATACACACAGAGATGGATAAACCTCGTCACCTGCGCCCATTGTCCTCGCCTCGCCTGCAAATATCTGCCACCCCCCAGCAAACCCACATCCCAACTTGACACGTGTCCCTTTTTGAATCC